TGTATAATAGTGTGTGTAACAGCTGCATGCTGATGCGAGTTACCTGTATAATAGTGTGTGTGACAGCTGCATGCTGATGCGAGTTACCTGTATAATAGTGTGTTTGCCAGCTGCATGCTGATTCGAGTTACCTGTATAATAGTGTGTGTGATAGCTGTATGCTAATGTGAGTTAGCCATATAACAGCACGTGTTAGGGTTATCATATTTGGTGAGATGAAAAAGAAAAAGGTATCAGAATATTAATGAGTTTTCACATTCACTGATCAGTCAGGTAGTGCTTCTCTCAAATATTAATGAGTTTTTGCACTCAGCGTCCAATCCCGCAGCACTTCTTTTATGAATATTAATAAGTTTTCCCTAACCACGGTGTAAAATGAAAATTTGGGTCCAAAGAAACAATTAAGCTAACTGTCATTTTTACGATTTACACACAATTGATACAATATACACGTTCTGTAACTTTATGACAAAAGTTACAGAAAGCGAAGCTAAAGTTTATTAAACTTCAAGCAAACAACATAATTCACTGTTCAAGTGAAAACAAAAATTAAGTGCCAATGGTTTCCGGAAGCTGACGTCACTTGTGAACAGCGTGACACGTAGGGGTGTGCATGTCATTTAATTTTCAAAGTAAATGCGTGTCAGGACCCTTGAAAAAGCTGTGTAATGATGGCTGCCATATATCAAGTATCTGTGCTTTTTTGCTTCACTTGGCACTCCACTGTAACTCCACCTGGACAGGAGCCCCAAAAGAGGATGTGCCTAGGGAAACCTGGAAGTACAGTAACCCAAGTATGTGTGATAGCTGTACTCTGATGCAAGTTACCTGTATAACAGTGTGTGTGACAGCTGTATGCTAACGCAAGTTAGCTAAATAAAAGTGAGTGTGACAGCTGTATGCTTAGGTGACCGCTCATGCGGATTTAGTCTTACAGTTCAGTTTTCCAACCCTCTGTCCTAACCTCTGTTAGGTGTTCTCCTTTCAGCCCCTTTGTTGTCCTCTTTCCCTCCCCCCATCTGCATCCCCATCAATAACTAGCGCCTCTCTCTCACACCCGCTGGCCGCACAAAAAAAAAGTGAAATCCCCCCCACAGATTCATCGGTAGTCAAGAACAGCCGTGTTTGCAATAATTTTTAACAGCGTTCTATCAAGACAGCTGTATGCTAATGCAAGTTAGCGATATAACTGTGTGCGTGATAGCTGTATGCTAATGCGAGTTAGACATATAACTGTCTGTGTGATAGCTGTATGCTAATGCAAGTTAGCGATATAACTGTGTGCGTGATAGCTGTATGCTAATGCGAGTTAGACATATAACTGTCTGTGTGATAGCTGTATGCTAATGCAAGTTAGCCATATAACTGTGTGCGTGATAGCTGTATGCTAATGTGAGTTAGCCATATAACTGTGTGCGTGATAGCTGTATGTTAATGTGAGTTAGACATATAACTGTGTGCGTGATAGCTGTATGCTAATGTGAGTTAGCCATATAACTGTGTGCGTGATAGCTGTATGTT